GGTTGCCATTTTTCTCCCATTGTATTTGTTTATATGGAAAAGAGACGATAAAAGTGCTGTTTAACCCTGTAATGCCAAACGTATCATATTTGATACATAAGGTTTCTGAAATGTTTTGCGTCTGACACCTTTTGCTTAATTTAATAGTAAAAACTTTGCTCAAAATCCTATTGTACACAATCAGATACACCTGATAACAGAAGGCAGAAGACTACACAAAAAATAATCTTGACCTATCGCATAGTAATAAATTATTAATATTAAAAATTTATTTTTGTTTTTTCTTTTCACATATTTTGTTACAAGGCCAAATATAGACTTAAAACAAACAAAAAAGTAAGTTAATGTTTTGTTTTATTCTTGGATTGGGCTTTAAAGGGTTAAGACAATGTGTTGTAAAAGAAAAATTACTTTTGTAATAATGTGAACTCATGTTTTGCTCTCTCGTTTGTGCATTACAGCATTGGATTTAAAGAAGCTACATCGTGTCCGTGTTGTTTTCTGTTTTCCCCTTTTTCAGGGGCGTAACATATGCATCTTGATTGGTTGGAAGGCTGAGATGAAAAGTGGGTCAGAAGACAGCTGACTGTGGAGCCACACATTGGCCAGGCCTATAAATGTGTTTCTGTTCATTTTGGAGAAAAGTCTAGATAAAACCCCTTCTTTTTGCACATGCTGAAGCTTTAGCAAAGGTTTTTAAAGATGTTTAGCTTCTCATCGTAAGGGCTTCTCCAGTTCTAAACTACAGGACAGAGACTAGTTCACCCTCAGGAGAAGACACCCAAACACAGACTGAGAGGGGCTGGAAAGGATGGGTCAGAAGTAACTGGATGCCTACCGTTAAAGCACAGAAATTCTGCCGTCACCTCACAGTCCTTGTCTTGCCAAAATCCGTTCCCTATCGCTGTGCAGGTTTCGTTACCATAAGCGTAATCTGGTTCTCCAGAGGCCCAGTTCTGGTACCCGGTTCTGCCTTTTTCTCCTGTTGCTGACCACCTCCAAGAGTTGGTGTCATTGCCCATGGAGGTTTTCCAGTTTTCAGGGTCATCCCAGAGTCCGATCCAGGCCCAGGAATAAGAGAAATCAGCTTTCAGCCTGCTGATGTCATCCATGCTGTCAAAGGTGGCCAGGTCGGTGTATTTCTCTCTGCAGAACTGTCGGGCTTCCGTCCAGCTCTTTGGCCAGTCAAAAATGATGTACTGGCGAGTGGGCGGCCGTGAGCAGGAGCTGAGGGGAAGTCCTGTGTATTTACGGAGGGGAAAAGATACAAATTGAGGAAATTATTCAGTTTTTTTTCAATCTTAGATCAAATTACAAAATCAGATTGAGCCTCAGAATCCAGTTCAGACAAGTTGCTGACACTAGAGTTTCAGTGGCCTTGTGACACAAGGAGAGTTATTTAGATAATTAAGCAGAAGTAACTTAACGACTGAGCGGTCGATGCAGGAGATGGAGGTATTCACACATTATTTACATGTTGCTCTTATCTTTCCTGAATCCTTTGCTTTGTTTGTAGCAGGGCGAGACAATCTGAAATAAAGCTGCTTTTCCCCATGTGAGAAGGCAGAGGTCAGTATAGGAGCGTTTTGGAAAGCAGAGGAAAGGAATCCACTCACCAGTGGAGTCTATCCCATTCAGTCTTACAATAAAACTTTTTATCATAAAAGATCAGATCATTGTATTTGGTGGTTTGGGGTTTAAAGTGTTCTAATTATTAGCTGAGTTGCTGTCTGACTTGGTGACTAATGTTTCAGTCAAGGACCGTGAGCCTGGAAAATGTCAGTTTAAATTGGGCCCCCTGCTGTTATTTTCTTTTTAGGTATCTGTTTGTGGGATGAGCAGAAAGAGATAAACTCCCTTCTTTAATTACTAACGCATAATTAATTAGGTAATAATGCTCTGGCACAAAGATCTGCTTAACAGCTGTCCAGAGCTGTAAAGAAGTCCTTATCTCAACAAAAGCACCCAAACAAATACAGAAAAATCATTTAGAAATCTATTTCCACGGAAAGCTCAGCATTCTTCTACACATGTCCACCTTTATGTGTTCTATTTCATATTTTTTCTAATCTATTCCTTCAGCTTCTGAATTAGTGTGTTATTCCCATTTCGGCCCTCTCTCAAAGTCTTGAATCTCTCAGATCTCTGACAGAATGAAAGATTAGGCACTTACCAACCAAGAGAAAAATCAGATACAGCCAGTTTTCCATTTTAGACATCACTGAAATTTAAAAAGATATCAGA